GGGCACGTACTGCATGGAGCACTGGGTGTTATACGAAAACAATGGATCGTGGATCACCACATCAAAAACTAATGATGTATTGTATGGTGACTAACGTAACATAATAAAATTAAAAAAAAAATAGAATTTTCTGCCACCCAGAATGTTACTTATATCTACCAATATGGAGCATCTTCAAATTTGGTATTTTATTTTTTGCCTCTCTTCCAATCACTGGTACAAACGCCAAATTCATTGATCAGGTTGGAGGAATGATACCTAGAAATTTTTTTTCTGTAGTTCAAAGTCAATCTATTAATCAGGTTCAGGACCTTTGGAGATCAAATAACAGTTTAGAAACAGCTCTATTGATCTATCTACCTACCTATTGATCAGTCACTTTGCTCTCTGAATATTAATTTATGATTGTTCTAAGTCAGTGATAGATATATCTGTGGATGTGGATTGATATAACAAAATTCAGATGGATTTTCCTACAAGACTGCATGGAGTACTTTACACCCCCACCTACCATGTCCCTGTGTGAACTCACCTCCCACACCCAGTGTGCTCTTCCACACTATATATAAATATCATAGATTATATATGCACCCTGTTATGACTACAGATATAGTATATGGCCTTAAATGATAAAGGCAAATAGAGGCAGGTCTGAAAAATGTGATCAGCCTTGTCTGGATTGCAGGAAAGGAAACAAATTGCTATGACTCCTAGAAAACTTGGAAGGCACTGTATTTGCAGTCAAAGAGGATAAAAGAAGGAACTTTCTGGCACATCAGAAGACAATGTGAGATGGGCAATGCTCCTGATGATGGATCAAATGCATTTTGGTAAAACAAAATTGGCCCTTCGTTCTAAGTCATGCACATTCTCTGAAGGTTCACATGCCCCAGGGACACAGGTGGCAAATAAAATCTGCTCACCTCCATGTGCTCTCCTCAGCACCATTCTGTATTTAATTTCCTGCAAATTACTCTTAGTTTTCTACTTCTTGTCCAAAAGGACACAATGAAGGCATTATGGGATTTAAAATGTGTTTTAGATTGGACACATTCAGACCCTTTGTTAGAATATTACTAAAATCTGGGGCGCCTGGGTGGCTCAGTTGGTTAAGCGACTGCCTTCGGCTTGGGTCATGATCCTGGAGTCCCGGGATCGAGTCCCGCATCAGGCTCCCTG